TAACGTGAGCGGTCTGCAGCGTCCAGGGCTAACGTTAGCCGTCTGCAGCATCCAGGGCTAACGTTAGCCGTCTGCAGCATCCAGGGCTAACGTTAGCCCGTGTGAAGCGGCCAGGGCTAACGTTAGCCCGTGTGAAGCGGCACTCTCTCTGCATAGCCGTGTGTGAAGGACCGCTGGTTCTGATGGAGGTTTGATTGTTTTATTTGGCAAAATGTTCATGTTATTTGTGTTTATCTGACTGTGTTAGTTATTATTTCCCCACTAAATGAAAAAAATGTATTATTATCTAGAGACTATTAATAACAGGAAATGAAATACAGCTCCAAACTAGCTTTGAATGTGGTGATGTCATCAGTACGCTGCTGTTCCAATTGACCCAGATTGATGCTGCTCCCGTTCTCCCAGAGTCCAGACTTTCCTGGGTTCTAGTCAGGAACATACTTGACGAGAACACGACTCCGTACTGACGTTCTAGTGAACTGAGAGATAGCTTATACACGATCTTCCAGGAAGTGGTTTGAGTCATTTTAGAATCCTCCTGGAAGTGGTTTGAGTCATTATAGAATCTTCCAGGAAGTGGTTTGAGTCATTATAGAATCTTCCAGGAAGTGCTTTGAGTCATTATAGAATCTTCCAGGAAGTGCTTTGAGTCATTATAGAATCTTCCAGGAAGTGCTTTGAGTCATTATAGAATCTTCCAGGAAGTGGTTTGAGTCGTCATAGAATCTTCCAGGAAGTGGTTTGAGTCATTTTAGAATCTTCCAGGAAGTGGTTTGAGTCATTTTAGAATCTTATAGGAGGTGGTTAGAGCCAATATAAAATCTTCCATGAAGTGTTTAGGATCAGTTAAGACTCTTTCAGGAAGTGGTTAGTGGCATTATAGAATTTTCCACGAAGTGTTTAGGATCAGCATAGAAACTTCCAATAAGTGGTTATATGCAGCATAGGCTCTTCCAGGAAGTGGTGAGATGCAGCATAGGCTCTTCCAGGAAGTGGTGAGATGCAGCAT